TCTGTGACAGTGAGAAACCTGCCTCCCACTAGCGACAATTTATTTACTTATTTGTTCAACACTGGTATGCATAGAAAGCAGTTGTGGAATTGCTGACCTGTAACGGGTTCTTGACAACCCCAAAGGTGGCTTGTACTCAGTGTGAACAAAACTGAGTTCTTCCTTTTATAACCAACCCAGACCTCTCTTACTCCTTTTCTCTACTCCTTTCTCTCCCCGTCTATACTCTATTGCTGTGATTCACACCAGAAACATGGATGCCATCACTGACATCTCTCTGCCTCCCCTCCCACAGCCAATTACCTCATCTAGCCTTATCTTTCACCTCTTCTCCCCACCCTGCGTGCATGGGCAGGCACACACATGCATGAGCACACACATAACACATATACACACATAATATGCTCCTGCTGCTTTCGTTCTCCAACTGTATCAAGCTTTGGGGCATTGTACATGCCGTTCCATCTGCTTGCAACACTTTTCCTCTTCCCACTCCTCCTTTAATTGGCTAACTTCACGCGTCTACCTCTTTCAGGAAACCATCTGTGACCACTCTCCAAGTCTACGTCAGGACACCTCATTCCCTTGATATTGTGAGTTTCTCTCCTGTGTTAGCATTTATCTTTTTTTTGTTTGTTTTGTTTTGAAACAGGGCCTCACTCTGTCACCCAGGCTAGAGTGCAGTTTCACCATCTGGGCTCACTACAACCTCTGCCTCCTAGGCTCAAGTGATCCCCCCACCTCAGCCTCCCAAGTAGCTGGGACTACAGACGTGCACTACCACGCCTGGCAAAGTTTTGTATTTTTTGTAGGGACAGGGTTTTGCCATCTTGCCCAGGCTGGTCTCAAACTCCTGGGCTCAAGCAATCTGCCCATCTTGGCCTCCAAAAGTGATGGGATTACAGGCGTGAGCCACTGCACCTAGCCACATTTATCTTTCTGTATTCGCAATTCTCACTTACTCTTCCAAATACCTGTGAAGCAGCACTTCCCAAATTGTCTCAAGCATTGAATGAAGTATCAGTAGAATGTGAGCTCCATGGAGACAAGTGTGTGTCTATTCTGCTCATTGTCGTATCCTCAGTGTCTAGAACAGTGTCTGGCACTCGTAGGTACTAGTTAATATTTGTTGAGTGAATTAATTAATGTAGCACTCGGCCTCCAAGATGGCCCCATATGACCTTCACCTTCTGGTGTCCCCACACTGAATTAGGGCTGGTCTGTGTGATTAATAGGGTATGGTGGAGGTGACAGTTCCTTCCAAGGGAAGGTTATGAAGTTTCCACCTTGGCTTCTTGGGTAGCTCACGGTGGGGTAAGCCCCGACTGCCATGTCATGAGGACACACAAGCAGCCCTGTGGAGAGCCCAGAAGGTGAAGAACTGAGGCCTCCCACCAGCAGCCAGCACCCACTTGCCAGCCCTGTGACTGAGCCACCTAGAATATGGATCCTCCAGTTCTAGCGACACTTCCAATGACTGGAGCCTCATGAAAGACACCAAGCCAAAACTGCTCAGCCAAGCTACTTCCAAGTTTTTGATCCCCAGAAACTTTGAGAAATAGCTTTTCATTGTTGTTTTAAGCCACTATGTTTTTGGGGTAATGTGTTACATGGGAGTAATTAACGGACACAGTACTGTCTTACAGAAAAGAGCATCATGATTAAATAAGTTTGGGAAACACTGGATTAAACAGCTAAAGGGATTTCTCAGAGGACTCCTCAGAGCTTTTAATATACAATACTCATGGAGAATCCCATCCTCATATAATGACTTACTTCTTTTTCATCTTATTAACTCTTTCCAGTTTGGAAATGTAGTTGTAAGTAAACCTACAATTGGCCAGCATCCCAAATAAAATAACACCAAGACTGTCTAAGGGCAGCAGGACAGGAAGAATCTCTTGAGGATTTGGGCCGGAAATTCCTACTTTTTCCTCCTTCAAAAGTCACCTTTGTCCTGGGAATCCCATGAATTATGGCTGCATCCACCAAGCTGGAATCAGAAGACAATATTCTCCCCTTCACCACTTGGATGGACCCAAACACGGGCACTTTTACTTAACCTTCCATAGCAAAACTGAGATCATAATGACTGACAAAACTTTGCAGGAAACCCAGTGTAGGGAATTGAATTGGGTCCCCAGAATTCCCAAACATATCCCCAAAAGAGATATGTTCAAGTCCTAAGCTCCAGTACCTGTAAATGTGACATTATTTGGAAACATGGTCTTTCCAGATGTATTCAAGTTAAGATGAGCTCAGAGTAGATTAGGGTGGGCCCTAAATCCAATGATCAGTGTCTTTTATAAGAGAAAGGAGGTTTATTTGGACACAGAGACACAGAGACCCATAGGGAACAGCCATGTTACAACAGAGGCCAAGATTGGAGTGATGCTTCGACAAGCCGAGGAACATCAAAGCCTGCCAGCAACCATCAGGAACTAAAAGACAGGCATGGAACAGATCCTCCCTCAGGGCCTGCAGAAGAAACCAACCCTGCCAACAGCTCGATTTCAGTCTGCTGGCCTCCTGAACTGTGAGACGATAAATTTCGGTCGTTTTATGCCACCCAGTTTGTGATGCTTTGGTTCAGCAGCCCTAGGAAAGTAAGAGATCCAGGAAGAACTGAAAGGAATTGCTCAGAGGAGCATAAAAGTGGAGTGCCACCCAGCAATGGAGATGCCTCCTTGCCCCTTGGCCCTTGGCTCCCGGCCCTGCCAGGATTCTGCCTCACCAAGGTGGGGGCTACTTGGGAACAGCCTGGCCTAACTAGTGCCCTCAGGGTTCAGGTCCAGGAGAGAGAAGTACAGAGAGATGCTTCCTCTAACTCTGCCCAAGGCCTCAGTAACAAATCCCCATTTCCTGACTCAGACACTCTTTATTCCAGTAGAATGGACATTGGGAACATATGTTCCTTTCAGAGAATGTAATGTTCCCACCATAAGGGATGGACTCATGGGTTATCTCAAAACGTAATTGTCTACTGTTACTACAAGAGATACACAAGCAGCGAGAGAGGACAGACTCACTGCCCTTTCTCTGACATCCCAAAGCCGCCGGGACTTCCCCACCATTACTCATTGCTCTGTTCACCTCAATCTCTAGGCAGGAAGGTCTCTCTCATTAGTGATGAGATTGTCTGCTCCTTCAGGTCAAGGCTGCAGTGAGATGCATGTCCCTGGAGCCTAGCACAGGGCTTGGCACAGAGCAGGGGCCCTGCAGCACTTTGTGGGGATTTGGCTACGTGAACAATCAAGACACTGAGGCCATTAAAACAGGCTGCCATAAAAGCAGCCAAACCCCTGTGCACTTTCTGCATCTGGAATTTCCAGGAGTTCCTCTCCATAACAATTTAGAAAGTCCAGCAGTGGGTTCCAAGGCATCACAGAACTCAATCCAAGCAGATCGCAAACCCCAACGGAAAGCTACGCAACACGCCACTCCCCAAGCATTGTGGAGGCCCAGAGTTCCAGCCAAAGAAAGAGACTCAGTAAGTTCGGAGGGCAGAGATGCTCCTGTACCAGGACTGCAGGCTGTGCCTAAGACCGTCCTCACATTCTCTGACTAGCAGGACAGAGCCAGGTGAGGGGAAGGATGAACTGCAATATGAGGACTGTGTGTGTCTGTCTCCTCCTCTTCACCAGGTGACTCTCTACCCAGGGCAGCCTAGACAAGATTTAGACATCGGGGCAGTGGGCTATTTTGGAATCTGGAATGGGAAGGAATGACAATTGGCAGGTGACTCTAGTACTTGAACTTTCCTGTGTTGAAGAATCACCGAAGGTATTCTTTAATACACAGATACCTGGGTCCAGTCCTCCCTCCCAAATAGGTTAAGGGTTGCTTAGGAATCTGTATTAAAAACAAAACAAAAACAAAAACCTCCTTAGTGGTTCAAACACAAGTAATCCTCAGACCTGGGCCAAGAAGGTCTTTTCTGACACCACCTGGAGACCCAGCCTCGTTCTTCTCTCTCCTAACTACAGCCCCAGGAAGCTACATGTCTGTAGAGAGCCTGGGAGGAGACAATGACCCCAGTCTCAGAGTGAGTACACGCAAAGGCACCAGGAGGCCTACCCACATCAGGATTCCAAAGAGAAGAGGGGTTAGGCCTGAAGAATGTGGGCCCAGAGGGCATAATGAGCCCCTTACAGAGCGGTCACAAGGAAGCAGACGGGAGCTCAAGGTGAGGAAGAACTTTATGGCAAATCTATTACATCACTCACAGCTGAAGGCCTACAGTCTAGTGGGAGAATGCCCATCATCCTTAGAAAACTCTAAATACCCTGGCAGGCTATAAGGTCCTTCAGAATTCAGCCTGGCTTCTCTCTGCAATCCCTTCTTATAGCCCCTGACTTCCAGAACTTCACCTGCCTTCCCACCCTCGAAGGGGAACCTTTCGGAGTTCTCCAGGTATACCAGGCCCTGGAGATCTGTCTGTCTTTCTTACTTGCCGCTCCCCTCCAGGACTTTGCCTCTTCTGGTCTCTCTGTCTGGCCTGCCCTTCCCCTATTCTTAGCTTGGTTAATTACTAGTCATTCTTCAGGTCCCAGTTTAGAAGTCACCCCCTGAAGTTCCCTGTAACCCCCACAGCTGGACGGAATGCCTCTCCTCTGTTCCCTCTACATCTCATATTTAAGTTGTTCACTGTGGGACGGAGTGACATGGGGTTGTGTGCCTTGGTAGGGAGTCCACTACCCGGGAGGGGGGTGGTGGATGAAGGAGCAAGCAGGGAAAGAAAAAAGTTGTTCACTGAAGGCAGGCACAGTGGTTCATGCCTATAATCCCAGCACTTCGGGAGGCTAATGCCAGAGGATAACTTGAGCCCAGGAATTTGAGGCTGCAACGAGCTGTGATCCTGCCACTGCACTTCAGCCTGGACACTAGAGCAAGACCCCATCTCTCTCTCTCTCTCTCTCTCACACACACACACACACACACACACACATTGTTCACCGACTCCTCAAGGTCTAATGTACTCTCTGCAAAAAATATTTAGTTTGAATTGTTATAAGCTGTTTATTTACTTTTGCCCCATGAGGCTACAAATTCCTCCAGGACCCACTGGCTGGCACTTTGCAGCTGTTTAATAAATATCTTGACAATGCATGAATGGCAGTGTCCTGGCAGAAAACAGAACAGTCCACCTTGAGAGGCAACAAGTCCTAACAGCTTTTTGTTTACACAGAGGCTGACCCACCCTCTGTCAGAGATCTTAGAAGTGGTGCTGAAGATTGCTAAATAGGACACGAGTGCCCTAGGGTTCCTTCTGACACAGTGATTATGGGACAATGACTCTGGCAAGGGGCTGAAGGGGATCTTTGAAAAGCAACCAAGGCCCGGGAGCTAATCACTTGATGTCAATTTGGTTCACAGCAGCTTGTGTTCCATGAAGGTAAAGGAAATTCATTGCAAAGCAGCAACAGGTGAGGAGTTACTCTGGTTCTGTTGTCCCCCAATCCACAGCCAGCCTCTGTCACACCCACCCCTGCTCTCCTGAGTACTTGCTAGGACTGCCTGGACTCATTGGGCGTAGAGAGGCCCCACCAGCCTGAAGGTGAGGCAAGTTTCCCAAGTGCAAACGCCCTGAATGTCTTTTAGGCATGTCCCCCTGCAGCCAAGCCTAGCCAACTCAAGCTATTTGTACTCAGTACCTACTGTGTGTCAGGCTCCAGGTGAACAAGACAGACAAAGTGACTTTCCCCAGCCCAGTGGGACTTGGCCTCTCGTAGGCCATCAAGACAGGGGACAAACCAGGTTTCCAGCCCAGGCCCGTCAGTGGTGATGGATGTACCAGCTATTTAGAAGGCCAGCATGGGTATATTTGCAGGCTAGGCCAGGAACTCATACAGTGCTGTGATTCCCAGGGCAGGTGACATTCAGAGCTGCTGGGTAGACTGTTTGCTTTCTGCAGTCTACCTCTGAAGCACAAATCTTTCCAGAATGTCTTCATAATCCCCAGGAGTGGAGGATCCAGAGGGAGAGCTTGTGCTAGCTCTCCCTCACCTCCACCCTCACTCCAGGGAGAGAAGCCTTAGAGGCCTGGACCTCCTGAGTCAGTGTGTCTGAATGGGGGCGGGGGACAGGAGCCCAGGAGTGCAGTTCAACATGCTGCTGATTATCTACGTGACCTCAGGCAAGTCCCTTTCCCTCTCTGAATCTTAGAATCCTCCTTTGTAAATGAGAGAGCTCAACTACATCAGTGTGTCCTCTTCTTGGCTATAGATCAGAATCATCTGTGTGGTGGCAAGACTAAGGAGCTTGAAAAATGCAGCCTCCTGAGCCCCATCCCAAAGCTCCTAAGGAATCTGGACCCCCAAGGAGGAGAGTGGAGAGGCCTACTCAAGCCCTGGCCCCCAATCCTGGCCCCAGTCAAGGAGCCTCCTAGCCCCCTCATGCCTTCCCCAGCCTCCTCCACTGAGCTCTTTGGGATGCAATGTTCCCAGGCACATTCCGTCTGTTTCCAACTTCTGGGCCTCCTTGGACCGGGGCTGGAGTAAGCTGCCCCAACCCGTCTCTCCAAAGAGCTCTGGAGCCTGAAACACTGGTCATTGAGCAGTTTATTACCATCAACGTGTCCCCAGCTTCCCAGCACAACAGCCTGCCCACACTCTAGACATGCCTTCACTCCAGTCCATTCTGGCACCTAGCCTCAGTCTCCACCCTCCTCCCTCCTCCACAGCTACTTCCCCCAGCCCTCCAAGGCAGCACCAGGCCTGGGGGCCACACCTCAGCTGGGGGAGGGGAGGGAAGACAGTGAGACAAACAGAAGCTGGGGAAAGAGGAGCCAGGATTGGCCCCAAGCTTCTGTAGCCACCACTCCAGGAAGGAGGGAAAGGGGGCAGGGCTGAGGCTGGGGCTGGGGTTGCCGTGTGATGACAGTTCAGGTGGTTCAAGCAGGAGGCTCGTCTCCAGGAGGTGCAGGGAAGCCACTCAGGTCTCGGCCAATGATCTCACTCACTGTAAAGGAGGGGCAGTTGAGAGACTGGGCTACAGGTGGGTCCCCTCCTTTTCCAAAGACCCACCCCCAATCCATTCCAGGCAGGCCTTAATCTAGGAGGCCTCTAGATTCCTCCTCTACTGGCTTCTCTTCCACTGGGCCTCAGTTTCCCCAACGTGTCTTGACACCTGCTCCGAATCAAATCTTGCCCAACTCCCTCCATGTGGGCTCCCAGGCGCCTGTCCTAGCCCTTTCCTGCTGGCTTAGCCTGAAATGTCAGGGGAATCGGTATCAGCAGGGCCAGAGATGGGTATAGCCAACGGGAGGAAGGAGAGGCAAAACAGGAAAGCTCCTCCTCACCAACCCTGACCACAGACACCGTGTTTAGGGGAAAGCTGAGGCAATACAAGTGTGTTTGACTGGGACCTCAGCAAGCTACCATCCCTCTCTGGAACTCAGTGCCTGAACTTGCAAATTGAGTGAGCTGGATAGAATGATCTTGAAAGTGCTTCTAGCTCTAAGATTTTATGATTTGGAGCAGAGGGCAGAGGCAGAGGCAGAAGAAAGGCTGAGACAGTTACCCCATGCACCCTTCAGAATTCAGTTAATTGGATTCAGGCAGCCATAGGAATCAAGAACATGCCACCTGGGAACCTCTAACTGGCCCTGAGAGACCAGGGATGCCCAATCTCTGAAAAGCCCAGCTCCAGCCCTCAGCAAACATGCACAGCAATCTCTTGCACACACTCATACTCACAGCCCCCAGTCCCACACCCACCTTCCTCCAGCGTGATACCCTGGATAGGGACACTGTCTCGGAAGCCGCTGCTGTAGCCACCCCTGGATTTCTCCTGCTCCGGAGCCCCCTCCCCAGGGCCATAGCCTGGCCCTACCTTATTGTATCCCTCAGCAGGTAGGGGATGCACATCACTCTGGGAAGGGAAGGGGCCTTCAAGCGGTGGGGATGCAGGAAGAGGAGGCCGAAAGGGGGCTGGAGGAGAGAATGGCAGCCCCAGGGGAAAAGAGGAGCCCCGCCCTCCATAGGGGTCACTAGGGAAGGGGCGGGGAAGGAAGGAGACTGGAGGTGGTTGGGCACAACCTGTGGTACCCCTAGTCTCAGGGAACATCCGCAGGCCCGGTCTGTAGGATGGTGGGGGCCCCGTCTGGGGGTACAGAGGGGGCATGCCATAGCCGAAGCCTTCTGATAGGTAAGGAGTTTCGTAAGCAGGGTCTTCATGGGGAAAGGAGGGATAGGGGGGCCTGGGTGGTGAGAAGTCCATGTCAGTGCCAAAGGGGGGTGCCGATGCTGAAGGGAAGCCCCGCAGAGATGAGTCTGGTAGGGGCTCCTCTTTGCAGATCACTGGGAAGACAAGAAGTGGGAGGACATGCTGGTGAGAGGTCTGGTAGTCTCCACACTGCACACCTTCCAGGTGCCTGCTCCTCCCAGGTTCCATTCACCCCTTGGCCCCTCATGATGGACACTGCTTCCCTCTGCCCCTGCTCCAGCTCCCCATATCCCTATACCCCCACCATGGGCCGTCCCAGAGCGCACCAGGCAGAAACTTGAAACTCTGGGTAGGACTGCGTTTCCTCCGCCCATTGGAGACATAAAAGTAGACCTGAACTGGCCGGGACACCCTCTTGTTGCTGTACTCAGGGACAGTCAGGGTCAGCGTCACCTAGGGAAGAGTAAAAATGAGGCAGGGAGCCCTCAGGCATCTGGGCTTAGCCCAGCCTTTCCAGGGACCCAGACTCCACCTCCTAGTTTTCTCCATTTCCTAAGATGCAAAGTTCATTCCCTAGAGATGCACCTGCTTACAGAATGGCCAGTCTACCTTCTCCAGAAAAGTCCACTCCCATGAGCAAGAGGACCCAGCTGAGAATCCCCTGCCTTCTCCCACCCCGCCCCCCCAGGAGGTATCCTAGTGACACTGGTACCTCATTGCTCTGCAGTCGGTTCACCGTGGCCTCCTCCTCCCATTGCAGCTTCCCATCTGTCCAGAGGGAACAGAGAGCTGCAGCCCAACTCCAGCGCCCCTGCCCCCTGCCCTAGTTCTCTGCCATTTCCCCTCCTGTTAGAGCCAAGGCCAAATTCAGAAGGCCCTAGAAGATCTGACACACAGAGGAGCCCACTGCATGTTAACTTAATGTGAGTGGAAGAGGTAGGGTTTTAAACTGTCCTCAAGGTACAGGGAAGCAAACTGAGACCAAGGGAAATGGCAGGACCAGCCCAGAAACCAGAGGAAGTCAGTAACGGAAGCAACTCTTGAGCCCTCCCACCCAACTCCAAACATCCTCTCCCATGATAATGCCAAGAAGGAAGACTAAAGGTAGGAAAGGGTCCTAGCTTGACAGAAGGCAATGAGACCCTCAAGTATCATGACCCAGAATCTCTAGAGAAGCTCTGACATGGTCCTAGGATGCTAAATTTGGATATAGGGGCCAGATGTAGTGGCTCATGCCTATAAATCCCACCACCCACCACTCCCACCTTGGGAGGCCAAGGTGGAAAGATCACTTGAGTCCAGGAGTTTGAGACCAGCCTGGGCAACATGGGGAGACACTATCTCTACACAAAATATTTTTGGAGGATTGCTTGAGTCCAGGAGGTTGAGGCTGCAGTGAGCCGTGATTGCATCACTGCACTCCCCTGGGTGACAAAGTGAGACCCTGCTAAAAAAAAAAAAAAAAAAAAATAGGATATAGAGACTGAGGCTCTTGGTGAGCAGTGTTTGGAGAGGGCAAAGGCCTCAGGTTGGTGCTGGCAACTCGAACCCTCAGTCTTCCCTTTCTCCACTCCTGCAGCTCCATCTCAGGGCACCTAACAGGCTCTGTTAATCACTGCCCATAACTCAAGAGAGGCCCAGCGGGGAGCCTATCTACATGGGATAAATTATCTCGAAGGAGCCTCCTCTTTAATAGACAGAATGTGCATCGCTTCCATTTGTTCAGCATGCTCAATATTTTAGATTGTTGTCATACGCATCCCACATGGAAAGCAGACAGTATAATAGAAAGGGTAGTCTGTCTGTCCCATTTTACAAATAAAAAAAACTGAGGCTCCACTGGCTAGTTTAGTGACAATGCCAGAGATATTTCACCTGCCACTCCCAAGCTCTCCCTGCCTGCCCTCCCCTCTGCAGCAGGTACTCACCAGGACCCCTCTCAATGAACACCACCTTGGAGTCTGGCAGGAAGTTGGAGCCAGTCAGTACTAGTTCCTCGCCTCCTCTCACAGAGCAGGCACTAGGGCTGTAGGCCTCCACCTGGGGCAGCTCCTGAGCTGAGCGCTGGGCTGCAGAGCAGTGCAAGGAAGAGGAGTGTCTGGGCTGGGCATGGAGAGGTGGCCTCCTCTACCCCCACCCACTTTGGAAAAACTGCCACAGGGTTCTGAGGGAGCCCTCCTCAGCAGCAGACACACAAATAAACCAGTAATATCCATGGAGTCACACACACCATGTAAGGGGCCACTCCCAGAGCAGAGAGAGGGTTAAACAGAGTAGACCAGGGAGTTTCCCAAACAAGGGTACAGGGCACCCCAGGAACAGATAGGGTCCAGGGTCACTCTGGGCCACCCCAGAGACAGAGTCTGTGGCAGGGGCAAACTAGCATAGAAGTAAAGCCTGAGTCCTCTATAGAGCTACTCAGGACAGACAGGGCACAGGACGCTACAGAGGGAATGGGCAGACAGACACACACACAGAGACAAGAGTTGCAAGAGACAGAGAGATGGCCCAGGGCCTCTTTGCTCACAGCACTCGATGGGCACCGACGCTGCCTGTACTGAGACGACCTTCCCGCCGCCCTGGGGCACGTGTACCCGGAACACCAGTCGCACACGTGTGTTTTTGCGCCCGATGTCCGTCTCACCCTTCCGAAGCTCAATGTCTGAATTCCGAAGCTTCAAGATTCCCGCACAGTCAATGCTGGAGGCAAAGGATGGATGGCAAGCCCTCCTAGCTGAAGCCAGAATGGTGATACATCCCTAAAGAGGGAAGTTCCCGCCCTCCATCCAAAGCCCTGAATGACTTTCGATGAGTGCCTAGGAGGTTATTTTCTAACCCACAGACGGCCTCTCTGGGGTACCCGCGCATCCCCAAAAGTCCTCTTCCAGATGGTGGGTAGGCCTGAAGCCAGCTCCTAGGAATAAGGTCTACCTCTTCTTGGAAAAGGAAGAAGTGGGCTAGCATAGGCCCAATGGAGAAAGCTAGTATAAAGCCTGCAGACTGAGGGGAAGTTGCATGGGACTTACTTGGCCGCCATGTTGTTCTCAGGCAGCAGAGTCATCTCCAACACCTTGGTGCCACTGACTACGGCTTCATAGCTGGCTGTGGCCACCATCTTGCCTGTGATACGGTGCACCTGATAGAAGGCATGAGGCCGCAGGTTCCTTTCATCTGCAGTGCCGATGAACATCTGTAGGGTCAGTGGCTTCTCACTGTAGCCTAGGAGCTGGCAGAGGGAGAGAGGGGCCACTTCATTGAAATTGCTACTACCTCACCCTTTATTCATCCCTAGATTTTCAGTCCACCATGGGATGAGAATGGTGAAAGATAAAGGATATCCTGCAAGGGAATCCCTTGGGGAACTGGGCACCCGTTGTGGAGAAAACATGGCCTGGAGTTCACAGTGTTTTTCTTGGAATAAAGCCCAAAGTGGGCTGGGCAAAGGCAGAAGAGCCTCCAAAGAGACTGGCCCAACTCAATATAGAGAAAACTTAACTCCCAGTGACTTTTGGCCTCAGCCTAAACCCTCCCCCATATCTGGCAGGCCACCATTTTCCAGAGTAGACATGAGGCTGGTGTCCCATGGGATGAGCTGAGTGGGGGTGGAAGGACAGAGGAGTAGAAAGTATATCCGGGTCCTTGCACCCCTCCTCCCCCAACTCCAGCCCCTCCCCCAGGCTGCCTGCAGGGTCAGAACTGAGAGGGAGTGTGGGAAAGGGCAGTGCCATGTGTCTGCATAGCTGGAACCCATCTGGGAGAGGAGAAAGGATATCAGGCCTGCTCTCTGTCCTTTACCTTGACTACGGGGTGACCGCCAGGGGCAGCTTTGACAGCTCCACGGCTGCCTTCTGTCTCATAGTGGGCCCGGTGGTGGGCTCTAGGCTGTACCTCGATCCTCAGCTCCAGCTGCTCATATTGGCTGGGCAGAGGCCAGTCCAGTGGGGGTAGGGCAGAGGTCCTGGGTGGAAGAGAAGAGCATTGATCATGTGCAGCCTCAGACCCCAGTCAGGCCCACACTGGATCTGTGAGGGAGGAGGGGGTGTGGGTCTGAGAGAAAAGAAAGCACAGAAGAAATAAAGAAGTGCATCAACACTTGTGAAAAAAAGGGAAAAAAAGAATTTTTTTAAAACTATAAAAAGGACAAAGAAATGAAGAAATCCAAAAGTCCAGAAGCAAGGGGAAGTAGGGGACAGAGCCCCTTGAAGTGTGAAAGGTGACAACAGGCCTAAATTCCCTTCTTCCCAGCTCTGAGCCCAGGGGTTGGGGTGGGAAGGCTTCACTTGGATACCGAGAATTCTCAAGCCCATCTCAATCCCTAGACCTGGATGGAAAGAACAAAGAATTGCTGCTTCAGACCAGAAAAGGACTCAGATATGAACCCTTTGTTTTACAAATTAAAAAATTGAGGCACATTGGCTCACACCTATAATCCCAGCACTTTGGGAAGTCAAGGCAGGGGTGGGGGCACTGTGAAGATGGTTTGAGCCCAGGAGTTTGAGACCAGCCTGGGCAACATGGTGAAACTCCGTCTCTCTTTTTTTTTTTTTTTGAGACTGAGTCTCGCTCTGTCGCCCAGGCTGGAGTGCTGTGGCCGGATCTCAGCTTACTGCAACCTCCGCCTCCCGGGTTCCCGCCATTCTCCTGCCTCAGCCTCCCGAGTAGCTGGGACTACAGGCGCCCGCCACCTCGCCCGGCTAGTTTTTTGTGTTTTTTAGTAGAGACGGAGTTTCACCGTGTTAGCCAGGATGGTCTCGATCTCCTGACCTCGTGATCCGCCCATCTCGGCCTCCCAAAGTGCTGGGATTACAGGCTTGAGCCACCGCGCCCGGCCTAGTGAAACCCCGTCTCTACAAAAAATGCAAAAAGTAGCCGGGCGTGTTGGTGCTCCTGTAGTCCCAGCTACTCCTGCTGAGGCAGGAGGATCACTTGAGCCCAGGAGGTCGAGGCTGAGATCACACCACTGCACTCCAGTCTTGGTGACAGAGCAAGACACTGCCTCAAAGAAAAAAAAAAAAAAAGAAACCGAAGCCAGCAGCCACTGACAGACCTAGGACTGAGTACATTCTGCTCCCAAGCCAGCTCTCTTTCCACTAGTTGGGGCTTGATAGGTGGAGTTCCAGGGAGCTAAGGGTTTCAGATGGGACAACTTATCCTGTATTGTGCTCCCCGATACCCTAGGACAGTGGATCTCAACTGGTAATTGCCCCCTAAGTAATTGCCCAGATATTTGGCAATGTCTGAAGACATTTTTGGTTTTCCCAACTAGGGGAGTGGGTGCTACTAGTATCTAATGGGTAGAGGCCAGGGATGCTGCTAAACCATCCTACAATGTCCAGTACACCCCCACACAACAAAGAATTATCCTGCTCAAAATAGTAGTGCTGAATTAATAGAGCTGAGGTTGAGAAACTTTGCTCTATGGGAAACCCAGGGGTCCCAGTGTTAATGTTTCTTTCCCCTAGAAACGTTTCTGGACAGAACCAGCTCAAGATTTAGGATTATTGAAATGGGCAAGATTCTCTGAGAGTGGAAGGAATAGAACTGCAAGTTTTAATATGAATTATTTGACTTGCAAATATCTGCTATTTTATTGAAGTTAGCAGCTATACTTTTAAGCCACTAGGTCAGGCTCTAGAAATTGAGGAATGGAGAAAGGGAATTTCCTGCAACAGAGTGGAAATCTGCTTAGGTCTGGCACCTATTGAAAGGGCCAGAGTGGAAGGCTGAAATCCAGCCCAAGTTCCACACTCAGCCACATGCCAGTGCAGAGCTGGGTCTTGGGAGCACTCTATAGGCTACAGGAACACCTCCTTAACCTAGTTGATCCTCCTACAATAGCTGGGGGTGGGAGGGTAGAGGGGCTTTTTCTAATTGGCCCACAGGGAACTGTTGCCCTTTTGTAAATCATCCAGAGGTGCACTTTTTTTCTAATTCTCTTTAAAACCAGGTAGTTGGCAGCTGCTAAGCTGGTTGCAGATTCTCTTTTGAAATTCAGGGGGCATGAAACTAATGTCTTAAAATCCATCCCTTGACCCTCCTGCTCCCCTAGTGGAATGGCTGGAGAGAGCGGTGGTGCCAGGCGCAACCCTCACCTGAAGATAGGGCTGTGTCCCCCAATCCGGGCCTTGGACCAAGCGAGTGGGGAGGGCACTGCCAGGTAGTCCATGCCAGCCACCTCCTTCCGGGGACCTCCTGGAGGAGCCACAGACTCCTCGGCTCCCAAGGGCAGCTTCCCATTGCATGGGGCAGGCTCCTCAGACCGAGGCAGAGCCACCGCCTGCTCGCTGGAAGTCCGCCGTGTCTTCTGAGGGATGCTCTCAGCTGGTGGGGCCCCCACATAGTCAAAGGGACCAGGGGAGCCAGGATCCCGGGCCAGAGGCAATGGGGGTGGTGGAGGTGGCTCAGACCCCTCTTCTCCCAGGCTGCCACGGCGGGACAGAGCTGGAGAGGCTGAAGATGGGGTTCCCGAGCTGGAATAGCGCCGCTTGCCACATGGAGAGGCAGGTCGGGGGGAGGCTGGGGTGGGCCCAGGAGCACTGAGGAGTAGCCAGTTATCCTCTGGCCCTCGGCCTCCGGGGCTTGGACCATACAGGCTCCAGGGATCTTCGGGGGTCCATGGCCGAGGGGAGGCCCTGGGCGAGGGCAGCGGGGAGCCCAGGCCAAAGCGGGAGGCCGCCTCATTTAGCTCAGACTCCACCTCATCGCAGGCTGCATACAGGGCTGCCTCGTCAGAGGCATCGGAGAAGAAGCTCCACGAGGACAGGCTGCTGCTGCCAGGGCTTGGGCTGAAGAAGGCCCCCCCACCCTGGCCCCCTGCCTCTCGGTAGCCCCCAAAGCCTTCTGGTGGGGGGTAATCTCTAGGAGAGCCGTCCCCCCAGGTATCAGGGTTGTCCTCCAGCGCCGCCGGCGGCTCCGGCGTGGGAGAGATGGAGGTGATGCGGATGCTGGGACACTCGAGAACACGGCCACCCCCAGCACCCCCAGCACCCCCTCCTGGTCCTCCCAGCCTCACCGACCGGGCGGGCTGGCTCTCCCAGGTACCAGGTGAGGGGGCTGGGCGCGGCGGTGGCGAATGCATGCCAGGTCGAGGGGGTGGAGGTCGGGGAATACCGATAGGTGCAGCGCCATAGGGAGGGGGCTCTCCCAAGGCCAGACGGCAGCATGGCGGGGCATCCTCTGAGTCCAGTTCTGTCAAAATGGGAAGAGGAGCAGAGGGAGAGGGGGAAAGAGAGAAGCAGGTGAGATGGCTAGGTTCCTTAAGTGGCCAGGCCCCCAGGCCCCAAGTCCTCCTATGCTCCCTGCCCCTCAGCAAGGAGACCTTCTGAGCCACAAGACAAAAGCAGAGTTGGACCTGGGAAGATGGAGGAGATTGAAGCAGGCATGCCAGGACTTTGCCCACTGGCCCCTGGATCCTGGGACCGGGGGTACCCGATCTGGTGGGTCCTAAGGTGAGAGAGGTGGGTCCAGAGGGGCTGGAGCTGGGGCTGGGCCTGGAGGCGTGTTTCTTGAGGCACTGGGCTGGACTGGGGGCGACTCACACATGAACCCAATTAGCAGCGGTTCCCAAACCCCCAAACGGCGCTGGCAGGAGCCCCAGTTGCCATCGCAACCGTGGCCAGAGGGGAGGGGGGCGTCAGGGCTGTGGTGACGAGGGGAGGTGGCTCCTCCTTCTCTCCCCGCCATCTGGGGGCGGAGGTGCAGCCGAGGGGGTGATGCGTGCCGGGCCCAGCCGGGGGAAGGGGGGCAGCGGGCAGCGCGGATTCGTGCGAGCGGCAGCCGCCGCCCCCGGCTCGGTCCCCGCCATCTGCCTCTCATTGCGGCCAGACGGGGGAGGGGGAGGGGCGCCCCGGCGAGGCCTGACAGCGCCCCCAGCCCCGGGCGTCCAGTCGGCCGGGCCAGGGCTCGGGCTGCCAGCCGCCAGCTCCAGCGCCGAACCTCCCCTTTCCCTGGCGGCGCCTGGTGCTCTTGGGGCCGCAGTTCCCGCCCGCCCCCCAGTTCAGTGACAGGCGGCCCAGCCGGGAGGCGGCGCACAGCCAACAGCACCCCCACCCCCACCCCAGTCACGACCTAAAAAGGAGAAAGTGGTGCCCGGGCCCCCAGCCTCACTTCCGCTGGCCAACAAGCTCCCCCGACTCCCTTCGACCTCTGACTCCCTCACCCCCCACCCTAGGCTCGCTGCCTTAAATTCCCCAGACTCAGGATCCCCGGCCCTCCTCTCACTGACCCCAAGACCCCTTCCCAGCCCCGGACTAACCTTCCCCCAATCCCCCCGCGCCCAGCGGGGGGGCCTCCTTTTCCTCCCCGAACACCAGCTTAAATTCCAGCTCCTCATCCTCGCAGCTGGCCGCCCCCATGGATCCGGCAGGAGCCCCCAGGTCCCGGCCTGGGTGGGAGGGGGGAGCTCAGGAGGCTGCTGTATCTTCACCCGGGTGGCTCCCTCCCTCCCTTTCTCTGAGAAGCCCCCTCCTCCGTCGCTGCCGCCTCCCTCCAGAAGCCCCCTCGTTATTATAGAAACTTTTCCAAACTTTTTTCCCCCAAACTTCTTCAAAGCGGCCCCCCCCAGCCTGTCCCTGATTGGCTGCCGGGGATGCTCCAGCCCCTCCTCCAGGGATGAGATGGGAAAACCACGCGCCCCTCGTCCTCCCCCACCCTCCCTCCCTCTGTCTTCTCTTCAGTCCCTCCCCCTCAAAAAAAAAAAAAAAAAAACTGAATTGGAAAACGGTCCTTCAAGAGTGATACTAATGTTGCCTATTGGTCCGCCGTTGTGACAATCATTTCCCTCAGGGAGCCCAGCCCCCACCTCCCATAGTCTCAGTTCAAGGTTCTGGGTCCGAGAGCTTTAAAGGGGCCACATCCTGGGCCCCCAGGGTAGAGAGCCCACGGAAGACCCTTTTTTAAGTTCTGAAGACTGTGTAGATAGCACCTAGCAAGGCGGAACCACTTATCCTCCCCTTTCCCTCCAAGCCTGGCGCCAGGAGGGTCCTGGGGCAGAGTGACACCGAGCTGCTCGGAAGAGGAAAAGGCTATTCTTCCAGGTCCCTTGCCTGGGGCTACTCTGCCCGGGCCTTCTGGAAGTCTTTTGCCCTGCCGAATCAGTGCCTCCATTAGCCATTCCTCAACGACCCCCAAAGATGAAGAACCCTTAGCCAGCCTGGATGCCTCTGGGAGCAGTCCGAGCCAAAGAGTCTTTGAGAACTGTCCCTAGGCCCACAGCCCTTGATGGGCGTAGATCCAGGCCAGGCTTTGCCACTGCCCTTGTCCCAGCCACCCAGAGGGGCCATGAATTAGCCTCCACGGGAAGTTGGTTCCCTCCTCCCTAGAACTGTAGTTTGAAATGAATCTCTGACCCGATAGCATCCCACTCCGGCTCTTCTAAAAATCCTTGCCAGGTTTACTAGGGGCCTGAAACCTCGGGACCCTGTGGGCTCCCCCCTCCCCCGCTGCCCCCGCCCCGGGCTGGACACCTGTCACCTGGGCTGGAGGAGGAAGGAAGACCCGGACTGGAGTTTCCGGGAAAGTCAGGCTTGGAGAGGCCTGGGTTGTGTGAGAGGGAGTTAGGAGATTCGTGACTCGGTGGGAGATACTGGCAAGGCTGGTGGGTAGGAGGGATGGGAGGGTGGTTATCATTTTCTCCCACACAGTTTCAAACCTCTCTGAGAGGCCGCAGCGTCTCCAGTCTCTAAATCCCTCCGGTTCAGGGCCGCACCCCCAACCCCGCCCCATCCCAGCAACAAAACGGTTAAGCTACGGCCCCGGGTCAGACGTTTACAAACACTCAGAAGCCGGGCGGGGACAGCGCCCGTTACTCTAATGAGAAACAGGCTCTACGGGACTGGGGAAAGAAGGGAGGGCTCGCCCGACGGGCCGGAGCTCTGCTGCAGCCGAGGCGGCTTCCCTTCCTCCCCTCGGTCCTCCCTCGGGCCCGCCCAGGGGACCCCCCTAACCCCCGGGGACCCCAGTGACGTGCGGAGCTGCCCCGGCTCCGAGCCCAGGGCCGCAACACAGGAGGGGCGGGGAGAAGAGGCCAGGCTGGCGGGGAGAGAAGAATGTTCCGAGGCCGAGCGGGAGGCGGCCTGGTTTGATTTTCTTCTTCTTTTTTTTTTTTCCTTTGGTTGGTCTCCTCAGGTTACACTTCCCTTCCAGCTTCATCTCGGAAATAAAGGAAGGAGAAACACACGGGGAGGGAGGACAAGGAACACCTCGACCCATCAACCAGCCTGTACCTAAGAGGACAAGGGAGGTGGGAAGCGGAGGCGAGAAAGGCAGGGATAGAGACCCCGAGACCCAGCCCCTGTTCCCCCAGACTCTGCCCCTCCCCGGGCCCCCTCACTGCCCACACAGCACATGCAGACGCGCACATTCTTTTCAAATGTCATATTTCCTTTGATCCTGGGCAGCGTTTCTCCATGTGTCTGGCTCAGCTCCTGCCCAGTCAACCGCCTTCCCCTCTCACCCCCCTTTGTTTTCCTGGAGAACCCTCCTCCTCCTAGCATCTGGAAGGCCCTGAGGGCTGGCGTCGGCCCTGGTTCCCCTGATGACTCTGGCCTCTCCTCCCAGTGACTCAATTTCCCCTCCATGGGTGTTGGGGGTAGGGAAGGAAGGCGTAGAGGGGAGAGTGGTTGAGATTGCTCAGAGTGCCAAGCTTGTTGAGGCGGGGGGCGGGGGGTATCCCCTTGACTCTGAAAACCCTCCAATCTGTCTCGGCTGCGGCAGAGAGATGGAACTTATGACTTCTGAAATGTTCGGCCTGGTGTTGGAGCCTGGGCAACAGCGGGTAGTTGCAGAGTTAGGTTGCCCTGCACTTCTGCCCCCTGGCGACCACAAAGACCCAGCCGCCCTTCCTCGGTTCGCGGTTTCTTGCGCCGCCTGGCCTGGGTCTTAGCTCCGCTGCCTCCTAGCGCACATAAGGGAGCACAGCTCGGCTTTCTTACCTTGGTTGGTGGCTTCTGCTCTGCACTTTAACAAGCATCATTCAACTGCCTTGGAGGTGGACGTTATTTATTTCTTTTTTTAATTACACAAGATGCAGTCTTCTCTTTTTCCCCAGAGGTCTAAATAAAGCTAACTAATATGCATTCTTCTTGTAAACAATCCAAGCTATACAAAAATATGTAGTAAACCGTGATGGTCCACCATTTTCTATGCCTTTATTAACATGTACACACACACACACATGCTCTTTTTATGCGCGTGACAAACATTTTTCTTGCTTTTTTTTTTCCAGTTATCAAACGGTTTGAAGATCCTTTCCCATAGTACCACCTGAAAATAATGATGAAAATGCCCACCTCTTCAGTAGATAAAGCGACTTTTACAAATCAGGTAACAGAGTTGATTTGGAACCCAGGCCTGCCAGGTCCTTGTCAAGTTTACTAATTCATTCCATCACATTTTACACAGGAATCTGTCCTAGGCTTGGCTCCTCCAGTAAGTAGAGCCTGAGACAAGAACAGGATGTAGGTAGTTTATAGTGAAAATCAATCACAAGGAACAGAAAGAGAAGAATGGAACAAGTGAAACTGGAAAGAAGAAAAGCCAATCCAAGGGTGTGCTACAGAACAGGTCACCACTCTGAGCAACTGGAATATTATCCTACTGAGACCGTCTATGGAGCCATAGAGAATGTAATAGAAGAGAAGAGGCCAGCCTTGTCTCTACTAAAAATAATTTTAAAAGGCCAGGCACAGTGGCTCACCCCTGTAATCCCAGCACTTTGGGAGGCCAAGGCATGTGGATGGCCTGAGGTCATAGACACAGATATGCTACATACTATACTATATAGCATATACACAGATATACTACATATATATGTATATGTATACATATATATCTGTACATCTGTATATATGTATACACAGATATACATATATATAAAGTATATATACACTGTGTGTGTATATATATACAGTCATACAGTATATATGTATATACAGTATATACACAGTGTGTATATAGAGTATATATGTATACACAGTATATATATATACACACACACAAAATTTCTTTACTGTGTGTATATACACATATGCACACACAGAAAGGGAAAAGCAATGGGTTAATAATTTCAAATATATTAACATACTTTTGGGGATTTTTTTTGAGATGGAGTTTGGCTTTGTTGCCCAGGCTGGAGTGCAGTGGCATGATCTCGGCTCACTGCAACCTCTCCTCCCAGGTTCAAGTGATTCTCCTGCCTCAGCCTCCCAAGTAGCTGGGATTAAGGCATCTGTAATTCTACGCCCAGCTAATTTTTGTATTTTTAGTAGAGATAGGGTTTCAGCATGTTGTCCAGGCTGGTTTCAAACTCCTGACTTCAAGTGATCCACTCGCCTCGGCCTCCCAAAGTGCTGGGATTACAGGTGTGAGCCACTGAGCCCAGCCAACTTTTTGTTTTTAAAAAAGGAAAGACGTATCTTATATTGTTTGATCACAGGGATGAAAAATAGCATTACAAATTCTGTTTTGAGTCTTAACTTTTACAAAGTTGTCGATGACCTTATCAAAATTGATCTTTAGCACTTTGGGAGGCCAAGGGCAGATCAACTTGAGGCCAGGAGTTCAAGACCAGCCTGGCCAACATGGTGAAACCTTGTCTCTACTAAAAATACAAAAAATTAGCTAGGCATGGTGGCACATGCCTGAAATTTCAGCTACTAAGGAGGTTGAGACACGAGAATTGCTTGAGCCTGGGTGGTGGAGGTTGCAGTTAACTGAGATTGCACCACAGCACTCCCACCTGGGAGACAGAGCAAAACTGTCACAAAAAAAGATCTTCATGTATATATCTTCAGTAGACCGTATAGACAGATTTATGGATCTCTCTCACTCCTAGTTGATCAAAGAAAACTTAGTAATTTTAATTTTTACCGAGATACCTTTCACATACCATAAAATTGACTCTTAAGTATACAATTCAGTGGGTTTTAGTATATTCACCAAGTTGTGCAATCATCACCATATCTAATTCTAAGACATTTTCATCATCCCAAAAGGAAATCTTATACCTATTGGTTAGTAGTCACTCTGCATTCTCCCTTTCCTCCAGCCCCTAAAAACCACAAATCTACTTTCTGTCTCTATGGATTTGCCTGTTCTTGACATTTCATGTAAGTGGAATTATACAATATGTGGCCTTTTGTGTCTGGCTTCTTTCACTTAGCATAATGTTTCCAAGGTTCATCCATATTGTTTTATGTATCAGTACTTTATTCCTTTTTATGGCTGAAAGCTAATTTTAATTTCGAAAATTTTTTCCGATGAAGTAACAGATATATAATTTTCTAGAAAAAAAAAAAATATATATATATATATATATTTTGAGACAACATCTTGTTCTGTGGCCCAGGTTGGAGTGCAGTGACACAATTATAGCTCACTGTAATCTTGAACTCCTAGGCTCAAGTGATCCTCCTGCCTCAGCCTTTTGAGAAACTAGGACTACAGGTGTGTCTTAATTTTTGTTGAGTCAGTCTCCCTGTACTGCCCAGGCTGTCTTGAACTCTGGCCTCAAGCAATCCTCTGGCTTCAGCCTCCCAAAGTGCTGGGATTACATATGTGAGCCACTGTGCCTGGCCTTAGGGGAAAAAAAATCTTAAACCTAAGGATAAGATTGATGAGATTCATAAAAGCCCCATTTCACAATAAATTTCAGAAATTGCAATGTGTCTTTGTTT